ATGAAAGTAAAAATTCATGGAAATGTCTGCGAAAGGTGCCGTTTTTTTGTAGGTTTAGTTGTAAATGAATTTGGCTTTGAAGTAACTGAAGTTTCAGAGTACGTAATGCTTTGGTGTTATAGTGTGAAGGAATTTTTTGTTTTCTAGCTATTTAGTCAATTTACTTAATGTCTTATGGTTTTTTTTCCTTTTCTTTTTTTGAAGATTTTTTTTACCACTTATTTTGAAGTTTCAGTTTGGATAAGTCTTTAGCTAAAAGGTTTTTGGGCAATGAAATTCTAGAAAATTAAATGTGTTATAAGCGGAATTTCATATGTATTTCCCGGTGGATTAAAATATTGCTAAATAACTGGGCAAAAAAAAAATAGTTACGTAACTGTATAAACGTATGCGAATCTGTGGCATTAGTGTATACTGTGTTTATGTGTTCATTATGTTTATTAATTACCTTCGTTGGATGGAGGGAGGAGAACTATTTTGAGAAGATGACCTCTGGAACATTTAGGCCAGCCAACCTCTCGGTTTCGTCTGAATAATCATGTTAAATTTCTCCGTAAGAACATCATTGTTATTATTTGTTAAACCATTCAGTCCATTCGTTCAATCCAAGCAAGTAGAAGTGCTCGTGTAGGGGAAGTGTGATAAAAGTATCGTAAATGTTGAGAAAAGTTTACTAATACAGAGAAGAATATTTGCTTTTTTTTTTTTTTTTTATTTAGGAAGGGGTCTAGTGGAAGATGGTTTAAAGTTCGTTGATGTAGCATTTAGATGGAGGATTGGTTTTGTGCACATACATATGTTAGCTAAAAATGGTCATAGTAGATAAAAAATTGCATTTTCGAAAATTGTTAAATAGTGACTATTGGATTTGGTGGCAAACGCAGATCTTTAACATGTTTAGTTGATTAATAAATTTTGTACATCTGTGCAATTCTGTTGCTTTTATTATTGCCGTTGTTAGTGCTGATGCTACAGCTATTAGAGTTAGTGCTGTTGTTGTTGTTGCTGTTGTTGTTGAAATTGTTTCTCTATTCTTATTGCTGTGACATTTGTCATCGTCAGTTATGTGTTCAGTGGTGGTTCGTATCTGATGTTGTAGTGATGATCTTGGGCCAAAGAATTAAAAAACGAGGAGGTGGATGATGGAAAGTGTATAGCAATACATCTGAACATTATTTTTTTTAATTATATTTCAATAATGCAACTTATAATACATTTATCTTCAATTCTTTTTTTTTTTTTTTT